TGAAGGGACACCCTCTTTGCTGTCGCTCATTTAACCAAGCCTGATGGGAACAAAAAAATAACAGTACAAAGATGTTCCTTACAGCCCCCAATCGCATTACTCCCAATTGTCTCCTATTTTGACCCAAATCGCTCAGTCCCTCTTTCCTCATCAGTTGTTCCTCTTTTGGGTCTGATGTATGCACCTGTTTAAAAAATATAATATTTAATTACCAAATGTGTTTTGCTGCACTAAACCTTTCATCCAACCTCTAAATGAGTGCTTTTGTTATTTTGAAAAGCCGGTATAAAGGAAGATAAGAAGGGACAATTGCATATAAGAGGTTTAACCAATTATGTTTCGCATAATAATTCCTTAAAAACCACATAACTGAAAGCGTGGCAGCGATGCGTCCTTCATCTACAAGGTATGAAATGGAGTCTTCTGTTTTGGCCACAACTGTCCAAGAGGGGATTTCACCCCACTTTGGAGAATTTCCTCTCACTTCAGTTGTGTCTCTGGGACAAAAAGTAAAAGTAAATCTCTCCAAAGGGACACAGAGAGGAAAAAAATAAAAAAATTATTTCAATTATTAGCGATTACAGGAGTCGGCAGCCTTTTCCACATTAGAGGAAACCAGCATGCCAATTGACATGTTTTTACACCAATTGTACCAGTTTTTAAGCCAATTTATTATTTTATAATACTTAATAAGTTTACGTTGCCATTAGCAATCCAACTACTAAGTATGAACATATACTATAAACGTGTTCAGCCCAATGCATGCATTTCAGACCTCAGATCAAGCCTCAATGCATAAACTTCAGACCTCAGATAAGTCACAATGCATAAACTTCAGACTGAGATCAGCACCCAATGCATAAACCTCAGACATCAGGTCAGTCCCCATGCAGAAAACCTCAGATCAGCCCCCATTGCATAAACTTCAGACATCCCATCAGTCCTAATACATAGACTTCAGATCTCAGATCAGCCCCAATGCATAAACTTCAGACATCCCATCAGTCCTAATACATAGACGTCAGATCTCAGATGAGCCCCAATGCATAAACTTCAGACCTCAAATCAGCACCCAATGCATATACATCAGACCTCAGATAAGCCACCAATGCTTAAACCTTAGACCTCAGATCAGTCCCCAATGCATAAACGTCAGACCTCAGGTCAGCTTCCAATGCATATACATCAGACCTCAGATCAGCCCACCAATGCATAAACTTCAGGCTTCAGATCAGCCCCAATGCATACACTTCAGACCTCAGATCGGCCCCAATGCTTAAACCTTAGACCTCAAATCAGCCCCCAATGCATAAATGTCAGACCTCAGATCAGCCCACCAGTGCATAACCTTCAGACCTCAGATCAGCCCACCAGTGCATAAACTGCAGACCTAAGATCGGCCCCAATGCATAAACTTCAGATCAGCCCCAAAGCATTAACCTCAGATCGGCCCCAATGTATCAACTTCAGACCTCAGATCGGCCCCAATACATAAACTTCAGACCTCAGATCGGCCCCAATACATAAACTTCAGACCTCAGATCGGCCCCAATGCATAAACTTTAGGAATCTGTAGGCATACATGCAGGCTTCTTTTGTACAGCTCGCCAATGTCCTTAGCTGCCAGTGCACTATTAGCAACATCAGGGAGGTAGGTGGGCCAGGTTTAGTAATTACCAGCCTGGTGAGCTATCAATTACAGCCAATGTCAGTGGATGCCAGTGCAAACAGCATTGTGTGCATGCCCAGGTATGTGTGCCAGGGGTTGACAACACCAGTTCTACTCCATCCAAAGCACCGATTTTGGCTTTAGATAGACCTTAATATTACATGTATATCAAGTTGCGTCTATTTGAAACAAACAGTCATGGTTGAATGTGTTAAACATTTAGAGTGGCCCTCTGGCACCCCTCCATAAAAAAGACATTGTGGGCCCCCTGTCAGTTTAAATAATCTGACAATTCATCTTTGACCTCTCAAGAAAATAAATTGCCCACAAAACTGCTGCTCATTGCACAGTTCAGATTTGCGCACACTTCCCTTTAAACTCCAGAGACCGGCGTGTTTGACAACCCCACAAGGTCAGCAGTTTCTGAGATGCTGCAGCAGAGGGCAGGAATGTACGAGGAATTTGTGGACATACCGGTAGGTATTCCTCAGCTATTTCACTTTAAGGAAACCTGCCAGGGGAACCTAGAGCTCCATTTGTCTAGGTTGAATTATGACATTATTGTGACCTTACAAAATGAAGGAAAACCACTGAACATTGACAGTACAACAAGACAAGGCTATAGCAGCCCACTCCATAGTACAGCCTTGATGGGGAACAGCTGCACTGCCAGAATAATGTGCTACTCCAAGCTTCTATGCAGGTACCGTTCAGTGAATAAAACAGTATTTAGCAGCTGCAGCTGTTCATGGATTTTCTTACATTTCCCTCATAAAGATCAACAAAAAATATTCCATGGAATAAGGATTATTAGACTCTATTATGACTTGCAGGCTTTTAATGGGTCTTTCCATCTAATGAATCGTAGTCACACAAAAAAAAAAGGTCGCTTACCTCTAGCTTCCAATGGCAGAGCAGTATAGATTTGTAATTATAAGCTATTAACACATTTGTTTCTGTTTCTAACGCTGGGAGGGTAATATGTAATTGGGCTGATTCACTAAACCTGGCACCCAGAATCATTTTGTCTGCACCTACCCTTTCTCTAAGGGCCTATGTACGCTTCTGCATCGTGGCAACGTGCTACAACTCCAAAAGGAGGCACTTAGCTATACGTCAGAAGGCATTGAAGCCAGACATTTTTCAGGAGCAATCGGAGCCTTTATGTTTCTCTTACTATAGGTTTCCTTTAAATGTTGATTTAAACATTTAAGTTTTATACAATAATTTAAAAAATTACATTATACAGTGTATAAAGCATTGACTTTCAAAGCAAGACTTAAAATCCCCATTTAAAAAAAATAACAACTTAAAAAATCTACACTATACAAAATTGAGATATTTGACCTTTTTCTGCTTTGTTGTACAGCTACTGTTCTGTGTTACCTGCCATATGAGGCAAAAGTAGACGCAATAGCAGATGGCAATATTCCTCTATAGGATTACCGGACAGGAAGTCAGCTGTGTGCTGGGAAATGTTGCTCCCACCTACGCTACTTTACCTCTAATATCTTGTGTTCTAAAGGATCTTCTAAACCTCTGGAGAAACTGAGATCGCATTTGCAAAGCTTTAGGATCTATTTACAATGCAGCAAATGTTTAGAACCGAAAACATTATTAAGCTGGCCATACACCCAGTGGCGTCACAAGGGGGGGGGGTGCGGGTGGTGTGGCCCGCACCCCAGCGACACCATTGGAGGGGTGACACCAAAATGACTGACAGTCATTTTGGTGTCACCCCCCTCTGAAAAGTCGGGCACTCGGTCATGGACCGAGAGCCCGACAGTTGCATTAGAGAGGAGGGGACCCGGCGGCATAGCTTATCTGACCGGGTGGACGTCCCCTCCTCTCTCTGCCAGAGTTCATCACCAAGATGGCCGCCGGCAGGTATCACAAAGATAGCCGTGAATGCGCGGTGACATCACGTGGACGAGCGTGGTAACGCCATTCCCATGAGCGATGACTTCACGGCGGGGTGTCACCCGTTATCCACTCCGGGTGACACCCGTCCAAACCGGGGACCCAGAGCTATACGGTACTGTCACCTTCGCTGTTTTATAGATTATGCAAATTAATATATATATTTTTATTTTTTTCCCCCCTTATTTTAAGACAAATCTGTAAAGCCCCTTCATGCTTTTCCGCTCCATTGCAGTGCGTGAAAACACACACATTATTATGTGGTGTTTTTCATAAGACATTTTGAATGACATGTGGGTCAACAAAGATGGGTTCCAAACAATCAAACAAGTATCAGAGTCCATAAAAGGTTTATTGTTCACAATTTGATCAACTTGACGAAAACAGCCAATGCATTTCTGGGGCAAACACATTTCCCCTTCCTCAGTGCTTGGAGCATTGAAGTAGAAACCTGAGGACTCAAAATAGTTATAACCAAAGAGCTCTTTTTGTTGTGGAAAGACAACTCTCCTGGACTGGGTGCTTTAGTTAATAGAATGGACTGCCAATGCAACACAATGCAAGTTTTAATTAAAATTGCACCATATTTGCAATGCAGTCCACCACAACCCATGGCATCATGGTGTGCTGCAATTGCAGGGTGTTGTCTGCTGTTAAGAGCTTTGCATTACCTCGCCATGCAGTATAAGGAACATAATAGGTGTGAATTCTTCTGAACTTTAAAATTCTTTTAAATGCAAAAAAATCTTTGCTGTTTCCTGCAGATCAGACACATCTACATGCAAATGCTAAGACGTTAGAACCAAGACATGATGAATCTGCAATTCTCCTGATTGGACCATCCCCTGAAGGCACTAGCGGTGCTCAGTGTACGCAAGGTCATCCCCTACCATCCAACAGAACCTAATGTCTTTTCTCCTCTCAATTCCAACCTTGTTAAAATGCAGCATCATACGACACAGGGCACATATTTTTTTAATTTTTCATTGATGCAGAAACTATTTTACCACATAACATGACTTGCCTTGCACATCCCTGGGGCAGATTAATAGCCATGGATGGGCCATAGCTCCAATTTGTTTTAAAGCTACGCCCCAAGAAATCGCATAAAAAAAGCATTTACGCTCTTTCGCCGACTCCAATACGCCTCCTGTGCCATATTGATCCTGCGGTAACTCAATTAAATGTAAAATTACCACATCTCCATTTTAATGCAGAACCCTAATGAGGTCTCATCAAAATCCTGATAGACTTTAAGGTGTCTGCACAGCTGAGCTCCAGCAATAAAGGTTGAGGAGGGAGCTGCAGTTATGCAAAACGGCCACTAGATGGCGCAGGTGAGCTATGACAGGCGACAGTGTACTGATCCTGCAAGCAGAGAGCTCAGTGCGAATCCCCTGTATACTCCTGGATCTGCTTCATCATTCAATCTAAGAATATAAACACTGTGCAATGACGAGGTTAGAGGAGGGGGGTGGCACAGATCACAGCACAGCCTGAGCACTGGGCTGCCTGAGAAGCTGCAGCAGGACCAACCAAAGCTGCCTTCTGCATGTCTACAAGGGGTCCCCTGCATCCTGGATCCTGCTCCCTCCTAGCCATCAGCAAAGCCCTTCACTACTTTCACCTTTGCAATCCACAAAGCCTTTGAAGCATTCTTCTGTTTGTTAATATTGTGCTTTCTGCCCGAGTTTTCATTCTGGAGAAGTTGCAGAAAATGAGTCACAATATTTGGTCACAGACTGTATGCAAGACCTAAAAGGCTGCAGGAGCAAAGATCGGAGCTAGCTCCAGGCAGACCTGGGATTCTTCTTTGGATTTGCTCTTCTTCCCCTCTAAGTTGGAGCTCTGCTGGCTGGATGTGTGACATGATCGCTGGGCAGCCGGCTCAGAAGCTGAGCAAGATGAAAAAGTTAAGGAGAACTTTGTCAGAGAGCTTCAGCAGGATAGGTGAGTGATATTTGGGTTCCTGTGGGTGGCAGCTCTCAGCTGTGTCCTGGCACACTTCCACTCCATTTATTTCTTGGGATGTCTTAGTGGTATGCATTGCACAGATGTTGCTGCTGGATGGACAGTGTGGGCTGTGTCTGCTGACAGTACACTTCTGGAGGAGGTATACTGGCCAACTTATCTCATGTCTAGGCAATGAACCCAAAAGAAAATGAAAAAATATGATCATATTGGCTTAGAGCAAATACTATACCTAAATCAGAGAAGAGATCTCTTGTACTATAGAAAGGTGCTAGTAATATTCAAAGCTGACCTAGGAATTGTATCTAAATCTAAATTTACATAATATACTGGTTTACTATAAAGCTACTAGCAATTGTAAGAACACATCACAAAGAAGTTACATTATGTCTGTTATACTATAGAGGTATTGGTAATATGCAGAGCTAGCCAAGGAATTGTTACCTAAAGCAAAGAAGTTACATTATGTATGTTATACTATATAGAGGTATTGGTAATATGCAGAGCTAGCCAAGGAATGATACCTAAAGCAAAGAAGTTACATTATGTATGCTATACTATAGAGAGGTACCAGTAATATGCAGAACTGGTCAAGGAATGATACCTAAAGCAAGGAAGTTACATTATGTCTGTTATGATATAGAGGTACTAGTAATATGCAGAGCTGGTCAAGGAATAAAAGCAAAGAAGTTACATGATGTATATACTATAGAGAGGTATTGGTAATATCCAAAGCTGGTCAAGGAATAATACCTAAGGCAAAGAAGTTACATTATGCATGTTATACTATAGAGAGGGTGCTTGTAATATCCAGAGCTGGCCAAGGAATGATACCTAAAGCAAATAAGTTACATTATATATGTTATACTATAGAGAGGTATTGGTAATATTTAAGGGCTGGCCAAGGAATGCTACTTAAAACAAAGAAGTTACATCATATCTGTTATACTATAGAGAGGTACTTGTAATATTCAGAGCTGGCCAAGGAATGCTACATAAAGCAAAGAAGTTACACTATATATCTTATGCTATAGAGAGGTACTGGTAATATTCAAAACGGAACTAGGAAAGCTAAATCTACATTTACAGACTATCTGCTTTACTATAGAGCTACTAGCAATTTCCACAACATATCACAAAGAAGTTACATTATATCTGTTATACTATAGAGAGGCAGTGGTAATATTTAGAGCTGGCCACAGAATGATACCTAAAGCAAAGAAGTTACATTATATCTGATATAGTTACATTATTATATCCGTTACAGTTACATCATATCTGTTATAGAGAGGTACTGGTAATATTGAGAGCTGGCCAAGGAATGATGCCCAATTCAAAGAAGTTACATTATATCTTTACTGCTACAGAGAGGTGCTGATAATATTTACAACTGTCCAAGTATAATACCTAAAGCAAAACGGATCATTTATATCTGTTTTGTTATACAGAGCAGGTACTGCTAATATTCACAAATGTCCTAGAAATTATACTTAAAATGAAGAAGTTACATTATATCTGATATACTTACATTATATCCGTTACAGTTACATCATATTTGTTATACTATACAGAGGTACTAGTAATATTCAGAGATGGTCAAGGAATGATACTTAAAGACATTATATATGTTATGTTAGAGAGTTGCTAGTAAGATTTACAACTTTCTAGGGATAGTGCCTACAACCGACATTACACTACATCTGTTAAACTAGAGGGCTGCTAGTAATGTTCAGATCTGGTCTAGGAATGAGACATAAAACAAAGGAGTTGCATTATATCTGTTATACTAGAGAGAGGTAATGGTAATATTCAGAGTTGGCCAAGGAGTGATACCTAATGCAAAGGAGTTACAATATATCTGTAATAGTTACAGTTACATTGTATATGTTATGCTATAGAGTGTCACTGGTAATATTCAGAGCTGGCCCAAGAATGATACTTAAACCAAAGAAGTTACATTATATATACATAACATTATACAGTTGCATTACATTCTGTTATAGTTACATTATCTCAGTTACTTTAAGAGAAGTTACAATACATCTGTTATACTATGGTAAAATTCAGAACTGTCCAAGGAATGATGCGTAAAACAATAAGTTACATTATATCTGTTATACTATAAAACTGCTAGTAATATTGACAACTTGTATAGGAATAATACCTGCAACAGAAGTTCCACTAGTTCAGCTATATAGGGCTACTAGTAATATTTAGAAATAGCCTAGGAATGATACATAGAACAAAGAAGTTACATTATATTTGTTGTACTTGATGGACCTGTGTCTTTATTCAACCTCAAATACTATATAACTGTACTACGGAGTTGCTAGTAATATTTACAACCTATTTGAGAATAATACCTAAAACTGTAGTTACAATACATCTGTTATATATTATAGGGCTACTAGCAGTAATATATTCAGAACTGGCCTGGGAAAGAGAAGTTACATTATATTTGTATACTACAGAACTACTTATCATCTACGTTGTTGCTTTAAGAACATTTTTTAAGAGCTACATTGTATCTGTCACAGTGTATAGTTGATAGTAATATTCTAACATGTGTCAGAACAATGATACCTTATACAAGTTAGTTACACTACATCAGCTATACTATGGAAATACTAATGATATTTACAGCCGCCGTAAGGGACATATCTCAAACATAAAAGTTATATTATAAATGTTATACTCTAAAGTTACTAGTAATACTCATAATTGGAAAATGCAACAAAAATAGTTACATTGTGTCAGTTATACGACAGAGAAACTATAATACTAAAGTCTAAATAAAGCCATTTTTTTAAATTTTGGATAGCATAGAGAAGAGATAGAACCTCTGTCAGTGTATTACCCAGAACAGGAAAAGAGAACTTGCAATGGGGACACTTGTCTTGTGACAACTCTTTAAGGGTTTGTTCACACCAGCAAAGTTGCTCAGCACAGTCCCATTGCAAGTGCACGGCAGTTTCCCCTAAGTTTATTGTCTGCAGTTCACACCGATATGCTGCGTTGATGTGCGTTTAATAAAATAGGACATGTTGCATTTTTGTGCAGCGCATTCTGATGAGCTGTAATGCATCGCAGTATGCTGCAGTGCACATTATTATTATTATTCAGGATTTATATAGTGCCAGCAGTTTGCATAGCGCTTTACAACATGGAGGGAGACAATACAGTTACAATACAATTTCAATACAGGGGGGTTAGGAGGGCATAGAATTCCATAGCGATTTAAAGGAGAACTATGAGGTGAGTGCTTTTCACTCACCTCATAGTTCTAGCCGACCTGTGACAATGAGACTGTCACAGGTCGGCTCAGTAGATCGGGAGGTGAGCGAACACATATCGGCGTTTGCTCACCTCTCGATCCTGTCAAGCTAGTTTGTGTCCTCCCGTTACCCTAAGGAGAACTATGGGGAAAAGCCTTAACCCCATAGTTCTCCTTTAAGGAAAACAAACTGATGCAATGCACTTCACTTCTTATTTTCATGACAAGGTGTAAATGAATCCGGCAAAGAGTGGTCACTACTGGGGGGTGTAGAAGAAGTGACAGCACCTCATCCATGATACCAACTCTGATCCCTCATCACCAATGTATCAATCAATGTATATATGACCAATGATTGATGATGATGTTAAAAAGGAACTCTATTATCAACAAATCAAAAGCAGCACGTTGGGATGATAGTGATGATGGATGTATGCTTTTCTCCAACCCTCTCCAATTCAAAGAGTTTCAGAGGGGAAGTTTTTCTCCTGGTATATTCCTGCTGTCTACTGATTGACATTGTTAGATAGATAGATAGATAGATAGATAGATAGATAGATAGATAGATAGATAGATAGATAGACAGACAGATATCAGAGAGGATTTTCCTGACAACCTCCTTGCCGCAGAAGGTGGAAGTAGACCGCCGCCTTTCAGCTGAGGATATCTGTACTGTGTACATTGAGGGAAGTGTAAAGCAGACGATGACATTCAACCCTTCCACATCTACAGATCTTTAGAACCTTGAGTTCTTTGACATTTATAGGTCCCAGCGCTGCATATCGGCAATCATAAATCTATAGCGGGCCATCCACATCATGTTGAAAATAAGACATTTGACAGCTTTTTGAAATTTACCAGCTGCATGTGCATGTGGTGGCACCAAAGGAATCCCTGTTTGTATTATACTGGGAATACTGGACAGGAAGTCAGCTGTGTGTTATAAAACACCTTCTTCCACCCTCCTGCCATTATAGTGAATGTATGATATGGCTTTCCATTTTGAGTGATAAAACGTATAAATCAAAGATAGACGGTTGGTCATTTTGTTTGCTATTAGCATTTTTTTGTACATAGACAGTTATTGGATATCATTGATGGCTTCCGATATCCCAACTCATTCTCCCCGGCCAAGCACATTGCAATGAATGATCCTAAAAAAGTAGAGCAAGTTCACTTTACAAAAAGATTCATCACGTATCTTAGTGAATGGGGTGACCCTAAGTCAAAATCCGCTTTGCAAAGAATTAGGGATGTTCAGATACCAAGTACCGTACTCGGTACAAGTACAAGTACAGACACTTTTCCAGCTCCAAGACTAGACTAGGGGAAAACTCAAAAGTTAGGCGGCCGCTGTCATTTGTAAGGAACACACGGAGCTCCTGGGATTTGTACATCTCTGTTTTAATGTATGTTTTTTTACAATAAATATAAATAAAGTGATGCACCAATACCATTTTTTCAAGTACAAGTACCGATACTTGCCCAAAGTACTCTCACAGATACAAGTACTGATACATTTTTGTTTATTGTCATGTGACAGTTTTTCTAAAACAATACAGACTAATGATTTCAGGACAGTGGTGGAGTGCCAGAGCCAGGTCCCAGCTGCAACCACTGCAACCCTGGTAGTTCTCATGAAAATGCCAAGTATCGGCACTGGTATCTGGACATCCCTACAAAGAATATTCAATCGCGTGCAAGA